GCGTGTTCAGATTTTCCATAACTCAAACTGAGTCTGAGAAAATTTGATAATACTAGTGTATCACCACAAAATCCTGGATTTTATGCAGTAAAACCCGCCAAGATTCGCGCAGGAGCATGTTCCAAATGTTCCATTTATGTGCTTAGGATGGCTCACACATCTGTATACGATGGTGTATTGAGCTGTTTAATACCGCTAACCGTGTACGGAGAAATCGTAAACATGGACCCCACTATACATGACTTTGTCGCTGCTACAGTAAAATCAGCTAATATCTGTGAAGGAAGATGTTTGCAGATGTTCCATTCGCGTTAAAAAGAGTGTTTAAGAGGCTCCATGCTTTCGTAGATTGCAATGGTCGAAACCACAAACTATACTGTAGATAACGCGTGAAAAACTATTAATAGGTATCTTATATAATATGTAGCGATGATACTTATATTGTAAAATTAGCCGAAATTCATTTAGAAGTACGTTTCAAATGTTCCATTTGTGTCCTAGATACAACTTGATTTGCCCTGTCAAATGTTGTATGCATGTTTTCAATACACTGAAATGCCTTACCGAAGTCTTTTATACTGTGGACACCAACCAAATAGGTCAATGAATTGTTTTGTTGCAGGGGAAAATTCGTTGTGAAATCTATTCTAATTTTGTTTTTTCTATCATATGCAGTAAATCTTCTATTTCAACTACCCGGGCAGACAAGCATGTCACTTTTTGTACTAATTTAGTATCAAAAAAAGTATGTCTAATTTTCTATATAACTTGTCCCCTTTGTACAGATTTTTTGCATCGAAATTTTTGATGGCAAAAAACGGCTGCTTTTTTTTCTCAAAAATAGTGAAAAACTTTTGAGCGTTTAAACGCATTAAAAAACATAAAATTAAGCGTCAAATTGTATGCAATTTTTTTGAACTATTTTCGAAAATTTTATTTTATGCGCTTATTAGTTGTATTTTGTGAATAACAGTTATCTGTGTTTCTCTTCTTGCTAGAGCGGTATGGAGTTTTTTACAACATCCCAACCTCAATTCAGTACATAGTTATATTTTACTTTTGAAAGAGTACTATCCAGCTCTACTTTTAGTCTCCACCATAAATTTCTAAAGAAGACAATCCTACAAAGAGTCCTATACATTTTTATCAAATGCATTTTTAGTGATACAGTAATTTAAATTTTTTGTGTTATCTTTTCCAACTAGCTTAAAAACACATCTTCAATTATCTTAAATATTACTGACATGAAACGACATAGAACGTAGCAATGAAAGATTTAAACTGCTGCATCACTGAAAATGCATTTAAAAAAGTGTATAGACCCTTTTTTAGGTAACTATCTTCCTCAGAAATTCATGGTCGAGTCTAAAAAAAGGAGCTTGGTCGTACCCTTACAAAAGTAAAGTACAACAAAGTACTGAATTAAGGCTTGCGTGTTGTATAAAAAACTCGATACCACTAAAGAAAGAAGAAGAACAGAAAGTACGAGTATACTAATGATCTAATGTTTCGCAGTTGAATCGTTCTTAGATTGCATCTATGAAATGACCTAACGACGAAGAACCCTATCATATTATGCTCAATTTGAATACTCACAATTTTCTCAAACGTCTGAACTTCTTGTAAACAAAATTTGCCTCTTTCAAATTGAAAATTCCTTTGTAAAGCGAATCTTTATATGTAAAAAACTAAAACATTCTATCTAATCTATAGTCCGAGTAACTCTTAGATAAAAACATAACGAATTTACAACTCATTCGCAGCTATTAGAATAGGTGAGACTGACTGGAAATACCACAGTATTTTTTTTCTTCCCGTATGACGTAAGTAATTAAAAGTAATTTTTTATCCAAGTATGTTCCCTCTTGATTTTGATCTTGAAAGTGGCCTAAATAAAAAAAAATATTTCTTTCTTTTTAAATAAATGCGTTACTATTCATT